GTGTGGCCAGGGTCCATATTCATCACTACAAGGTGTGACCAGGTGTGTGGGGACATCACCTTAGAGTAGGAAACTTAACACGTCAAGACTCGACAGTGACGAAACAACACAAACCTATATGTCAAGGGACCGAAAAAAGTGCTATATCACTATTGCATCAAAGGTGTTTCCAGGTGTACTTATAAGGGCAATCTCAACTTAATGGACACACCCTCCCCCAATGTCCCCCATGTCACCCTACCCCCCCTCCCCTCCACACACACCCCCTTTACCCACCCCCCCTCCATGTTGCTATGTTGGGGTCACATAAATCACGACGTTGCCGCTACGAATTTCACTCCACTGTAATTTGTTATGATTTAGTGCCATTAGAAAAAGACCATTGAAATCCATTCGTCAGTCAGGGGCGTCTGGGGGTGACCTTTCATCAGAGGAATTTCTACCCAGTATCGCACCCCGAGACCTTCCCAGAACCTGTCTTACCTAGGAAGTTTATTTTCCGTTTCGACATCACGGAGGGAGTTGTCGAGGTGAGGGAGAAATATTGTAGGTTACTGTAAACTCTACCTGTTGAATATGTGATGATCCTACCCCCTCACCTCTCTCCCTCACCTCTCTCCCTCACCTCTCTCCCTCACCTCTCTCCCTCACCTCTCCCTCACCTCTCCCTCTTACCTCTCTCCCTCACCTCTCTCCTCACCTCTCCCTCTTACCTCTCTCCTCCTCTCCCCCTGCCTCTCTCCCTTACCTCTCTCCTCACCTCTCTTCTCTCTCCCTCTAACCTCTCTCCCTCTAACCTCTCTCCTCTTGCCTCTGTTCTCCTCTCTCTCCTTTTCTCTCCCCTCCTCTCTCCCTCACCTCTCCTCCCTCTAACCTCTCTCCCTCTAACCTCTCTCCCTCTTGCCTCTCTCCTTACCTCTCTCTCCCTCTTGCCTCTCTCCCTTACCTCTCTCCCTCTTGCCTCTCTCCCTCACCTCTCTCCTCACCTCTCTCCTCTTACTCTCTCCTCTTGCCTCTCTCCCTCACCTCTCTCCCCTCACCTCTCTCCCTGCCTCTCTCCCTCACCTCTCTCCCTCTTGCCTCTCTCCCCTCTCTCTCCTTACCTCTCTCCTCACCCTCTCTCCTCTTACCTCTCTCCCTCCTCTCTCCTCTTACCTCTCTCCCTCTTCTCTCCCCTCACCTCTCTCCCTCTTACCTCTCTCCCTCACCCCTCTCTCCTCACCTCTCTCCTCTTACTCTCTCCCTCTTGCCTCTCTCCCTCACCTCTCTCCCTCACCTCTCTCCCTCACCTCTCTCCTCACCTCTCTCCCTCACCTCTCTCCTCAACCTCTCTCCCTCTAACCTCTCTCCCTCTAAGCTTCCTCCTCACCTCTCCCCTCCCTCGTTCTCTTTTATTCCTCTTGTTATTATTTTCTTCCTCTTTTACCTCACCCTTCTCATTTTACCTCTTTATTTTCTAGTTTTTATTCATTCTATTCTTTTTCCTTTATTTTCTATCTCCTCTTCCTTGTTCTCTATTTTCTTTTGTATCTTCTCCTCCTCATCATCCTTTTCGTCAATCTTCTTATTTTCCTTTGTGTGTGTGTGTGTGTGTGTGTGTGTGTGTTATGTATCATTCGACAATAATACTTCATTCCGTCGATCGGGTTCTCGTTTGACATTTTTTATTCATCTCTAACAGACGTAGGCCGTGATAGACTTGTTCATAGTAATAATAATAATAATAATAATAATAATAATAATAATAATAATAATAATAATAATAATATAATAATAATAATAATACGTTCTGTTTATACATGTATGCATACCATCATAATATTGTATTTATTCATATATAAATTCATATTTGTTTATTTCTCTATTTTATTTATTTATTTATTTATTTATTTATTTATCAACTAAATTTGTATTTGTTTATGAATCGATAAATAATCTTTTGTTTATTTATTCAGCTATTTATTTCATGTATTTTAGTTGTTACAAGTATACGCGTATGTTTATCCACACATAAGTCAAGGACGTGGGTTCGAAGCGTCATGTTGTCCCCCTGTAAGACTATATTAGGTTTACATTGGCAGAATCCTGAGATTTACTGACGTGTCACACAACACTGAGATTTGATTTATGTGGTCGTGGTTGTATGGTATTTCTGCGTCAGTCGCGTCATAACAAGTAAATGTGCACCTAAGTCAGAAATTGTTCCGGAGAAAAGTGCGATAGATTTCTGGTGAATTTTGTTTTTTCTTTATGTGTGTGTGTGTGTGTGTGTGTGTGTGTGTGTGTGTGTGTGTGTGTGTGTGTGTGTGTGTGTGTGTGTGTGTGTGTGTGTACTATACTTCTCCCTATTGATCAGTATCACGAACTAATCTTCCTCGCCTGTTTACCCCTCCCTCACACTCTCAGCCTATAGGGATAAATCTATATGCCTTACAGTTTGTTTCTCTGTACACGTTATATATTTAATTTCTGATCATAATATCTTCGTGATTGTTAGTGTGTCTTTGAACATAAGAACAAATGAGCTTAGGTTAGGTTATGGTTAGGTTAAGGTTAGGTTAGGTTATGGTTAGGTTATGGTTATGGTTAGGTTATGGTTATGGTTAGGTTATGGTTAGGTTATGTTGGGTTAAGGTTAGGTTATGGTTAGGTTATGTTGGGTTAAGGTTAGGTTATGGTTATGGTTAGGTTATGGTTAGGTTATGGTTAGTTTATGTTAGGTTGGGTTAAGGTTAGGTTAGCTTTGTGTATATTCAAGGAACATTTTTAGCTGTCGTGTTTATTCAGTCGTGAGGGGCGGAGGTCACACCTCACTGTAAATACAATATAATATTCCTGATGGGGTAGCAGAAGGAGGAGTGGGTCACGCCTGATCATTTGTTGTGTTGTATATGTGGTGGAATACCCTCCTGGTGGGGGAGTCACGCCCTGGCCTGCCGTAGGATATATACCAGAAGGTCAGCTATCCTCTCATAGTGGGAGTGAGTGTAGTGGGACTTCGACCTCTCAATTGGTTAGGTTAGGTCGTGTTTAGGGTTAAGTTAGGTTAAGCTGTATTATGGTCCTTAAAATTAGGTACAATACGTTTGGCTAAGTTAGATTGGGTCAATTTCGATTAGTTTATAGAGGATTAGGTTAAGTTAGGTTAGGTTAGGTTAGGTAAGCTTTAGTTAGGTACTATATCCAGGGGTTAGGATCGGATAAGCTAGGTCAGGTTAGGTTAAGTTTGGATGGGATTAGTTAGGTTAGGTTCCTTGTCCAGGGGATTAGTGCGAGTCCATATTCCTTTCGTTTCCGTCACCAGGTTGCTGAATGTCGATATTGACGGATATGAAAATGAAGATGTTCACTTTATTGTTCCCGGACACGAGATTCTCAAATTAGATTCATATATCGAACGTGGAATGGTACTGTGAAGGTAGAGCATGCCAAGGTGTGGTTAAGGTGGTGTGGTGTTGATGGGAGTGAGGTTGATGGTATAGTTGGGGTGGTGTGGTATTGATGGGGTGTGGTGATAGTATGGTTGTGGGTGGTGTGGTGTTGATGGGGTTGTGGTTGATGGTATGGTTGTGGTGGTGTGGTGCTAATGGTTGTGTTGTAATGGTATGGTTGTGGTGGTATGGTGTTGATGGGAGTGTGGTCGATGGTATGGTTGGGGTGGTGTGGTATTGATGGGGTGTGGTGTTGATGGGGGTGTGGTGAAGGTATGGTTGTGATGTTGGGATCTTGGTAATGATGTGGTTGTGGTGGCGTGGTAATGATGATGGTGTGAGTGTGGTAGTAGTGATAATTTAGATGTGGTAGTGATAGTGGTGGTGTTATTGGTGAAGTAATATATACAGTGGTGTGGTAGTAGTGGTGGTGTAAGAGTGTTGGTCACATATGTAGTACTAGTATAAACATGGATGGAATGTGTGAGTCGAAAGGTTTGCCCGGGATTCGAACCTGCGGCCTTGAAATTTGAATCCGACACTTTTATTCTCTTGTCTAATTAAAACTTCTGGCGTACACACACACACACACACACACACACACACACACACACACACACACACACACACACACACACACTAAAACCATTATATGGAGATAGGAAGGTAAGATAAGGAGAGATAGGAAGGTAAAGATAAGGAGATAGGAAGGTAAAGATAAGGAGATAGGGAAGGTAAAGATAAGGGAGATAGGAAGGTAGAGATAAGGAGGATAGGAAGGTAAAGATAAGGAGATAGGAAGGTAAGAGATAGGAAGGTATAAGGAGATAGGAAGGTAAAGATAAGGAGATAGGAAATATAAGGAGATAAAGATATGAGATAGGGAAGGTAAAGATAAGGAGATAGGGAAGGTAAAGATAAGGAGATAAGGATAGGAAGGTAAAGATAAGGAGATAGGAAGGTAAAGATAAGGAGATAGGAAGGTATTGATAAGGAGATAGGAAGGTAAAGATAAGGAGATAGGAAGGTAAAGATAAGGAGATAGACAGATAAAATAAGTGAATACCGCTTGTATATCTAACTTTATGGGGGGAAAATTTATACCTGGCGTCCGTCTCTCATCAATAGTGTATCGGTGCCTTTGAGGAGAATACTACTACTACTACTACTACTACTACTCCTCCTCCTCCTCCTACTACTACTGCTCCTACTCCTACTACTACTCCCACTTTTTTTTTTTAATAATGGCCTCCAGCCTCCCCGAATAGCCACACCTTCGCCGCCATTTTATGACCTTAAAATTAAATATCCTACTACTACTACTACTACTACTACTACTACTACTACTACTACTACTACTACTACTACTACCCTATGTGATCAAATTTTAAGAGAATCGTAAACCCCTCTCTCCGTTTTTTCCCCCAATTCCTATAAGCTGAAAGAATTACTATTATCAACAGGAATAATGTTTTGACAGGGAGTTGCAGTTCGGTCAGGATGGGGGCCGAGTGGGGGTTGATTTGGTCGTTGTATTTTAGTGATATTATCGTTGTTAGGACTATTAACTCACTGCTCATACGCTATATTGCCAGTTGAGTCTGAAACATGCCATTTGCCGTGTGTATTTCCACGGTTTAGCGAAAGCGTCATGTGGGGCGTGATGTGAGAGCATGGAGCGTGATATGGGGAGCCTGATGTGGGATCGTGGAGCGTGATTTGGTGTCCGTGGGGCGTGATGTGGGAGCATGAAGCGTGATGTGGGATCGTGGGGTGTGATGTGGGAGCATGGAGCGTGATGTGGGTCGTGGGCGTGATGGGGAGCGCCGTGATGGGCGTGGTGATGGGAGCATGGAGGATGGGGATCGGGTGGGATGTGGGATGGGATCGTGGGGTGTGATGTGGGAGGGCGTGATGTGGGATCGTGGGGTGTGATGTGGGAGCATGGAGCGCGATGTGAGACCGTGGGGCGTGATGTGGGATCGTGGGGCGTGATGTGGGATCGTGGAGCATGACGTAGGAGCGTGGGACATGATGTGGGATCGTGGAGCATGATATAGGAGCGTGGAGCGTGATGTGGGAGCGTAAGGGATGATGCGTTGTGTGAGAGCGCCTGACTGCGAACTCCGCGTATCAGCTGACTTATACGCGACCTCTCTGCTCTAAACGCTCTTGCCTGGGTGAATTCTCTCTCCAGTGTGTTGATTTACCCCTTCGTCAGGTTTACTCGTTTTAAAAGAGATGTTTCTTAGCCTTGAGGAGCTTGGGGTTTGAAGGTGAGGGCTGGTGGGGTAGTTTGGTCTTCCTTCCTTCCTTCTTTTCCTTTTTTCTCTGCTTTTCCTTTTTTCCTTCTTTTCCTTTTTTCCTTCTTTTCCTTTTTTCATTTTCCTTTTTTCCTTTTTCCTTCCTTCCATTTTCCTTCCGTTTTTCCTTTTTGTTCCTTCCTTCCTCTTTTCCTTTGTTCCTTCCTTCCTTCCTCTTTTGTTATTGATTTGTTTTGTGTTATCTGATGGTGTGTGGAAGATGATGAAAGTCAGGTAAAATCTCTCTCTCTCTCTCTCTCTCTCTCTCTCTCTCTCTCTCGTCACGGTATCGTATTTGGTACCGTATTGAAATTTCCGTTTTTTTTTTTGCCAATAATTGAAATTATTTTTTCCTTTCGTTAAAATTTGTTCATTTGTTTGCACTGTATTTCCTAATTCTTGTTGTTACCTCTCCTCCTCCTCCTTTTTCTTAATCTTTCTCTTCCTCCTCACTTCATCCTTCCCCTTTCTCCTCTACTGTATATCTTGTTATAGTTCTTTTTGTCTTATTGAGGTGTTCTTCTTCTTCTTCTTCTTCTTCTTCTTCTTCTTCTTCTTCTCCTTCCTCTCTTCTTCTTCTCCTCCTCCTTCTTATTCTTCTTCTTCTTCCTCTCTTCTTCTTCTTCTTCTTCTTCTTCTTCTTCTTCTTCTTCTTCTTCTTCTCCTTCTTATTCGTCTTCTTCTTCTTCTTCTTCTTCTTCTTCTTCTTCTTCTTCTTCTTCTTCTTCTTCTTCCTCTCTTCTTCTTCTTCTTATTCTTCTTCCTCTCTTCTTCTTCTTCTTCTTCTTCTTCTTCTTCTTCCTCTCTTCTTCTTCTTCTTCTCTCATCTCTCTTCTTCTTCTTCTTCTTCTCTTCTTCTTCTTCTTCTTCTTCTTCTTCTTCTTCTCTCCTCCTTCATTCTCTTCTTCTTCTTCTTCTTCTTCTTCTTCTTCTTCTTCTTCTTCTTCTCTCTTCTTCTTCTTCTTCTTCCTCTCTCTTCTTCTTCTTCTTCTTCTTCTTTCTTCTCTTCTCTTCTCTTCTTCTTCTTCTTCTTCTTCTTCTTCTTCTTCTTCTTCTTCTTCTTCTTCTTCTTCTTCTTCTTCTTCTTCTTCTTCTTCTTCTTCTTCTTCTTCCTCTCTTCTTCTTCTTCTTCTTCTTCTTCTCTCTTCTTCTTCTTCTTCTTCTTCTTCTTCTCCTTCCTCTCTTCTTCTTCTTCTCCAACAGTATATTGTCCTTGTGGAAAGTTTATTCACGCTGCCACAAATTACACCCACGGCTAACACGTTTCTGCGCCTGTCCTTGAAGGTATCCGTGACTGTGTTCGTAGTTTATGAGCGATAGGTGTGTGTGTGTGTGTGTGTGTGTGTGTGTGTGTGTGTGTGTGTGTGTGTTTTTATATCAGGTTTGTGGTAAAGTTATTCTCTCGAGGAACATTTGGTTCACTTGTCGTATGAACAGTATAAAGGAAGAGTTCAGTATAATGTTCATAGGTGATGATGATGATGATAATGATGATGATGATGATGATGATGATGAGGATGATGATGAAGATGATGAACATGATGGTGATGAAGATGATGATAGGATGATGATGATGATGATGATGATGATGATGATGATGATGATGATGATGATGATTGGTACTGTTAAGGAAGTCTTGTTATTTAAGGCGATCTAATTACGGTTATCTTCAGTATCATATTTCTGTGTAAAATATTTCGTGTTGAGGAGTAACGGGCGGGAGGTTGTGGGCGGTGTGGGTGTGCTCTGGGAAGTTGTGGGCGGTGTGGGTGTAACGGAGAGGCTGGAAGAGACGTAGATGTGGACGTCCTTGGTTATGTGGGTGAGGGCGGGAAGGCCGTGGGCGGTGTGGGTTAGGGCGGGAAGGCCGTGGGCGGTGTGGGTTAGGGCGGAGAGGCCGTGGGTGGTGTGGGTTAGGGCGGGGAGGCCGTGGGCGGTATGCATGTCTGGTAGTGTTATCATTACCTCAGTCGTGCCCGATACCTAACAGCCAATCACGTAGTCCCTCCCTCCCTCCCTCCCTCCCTCCCTCATACCCATGCCCGTCTACTGATACCTACACCTCCTACCCACGCCTTCCTTATGACACCCACGCCTATCCTACTGCCCCACGCCCTCATGATGGTAGCGACGTAAATTTTGAGTAATATTTAATAGAGACGCAGCAAGTTTTATCTCTACTAAGTATTAATTACTGGTTCGTGGGTCTAATAGTCCCCCCAGCCCTAGTAGGCCTCCCTCCTAATTAGCCCCAACTTAACCTAACCAAACTAATAGGATTTGAACGTATTTGAATTGGGGTCATTAAGAGTGGGGTTAGGTCAAGTTAGGTTGGGGTCTATCACTTACGGTTTGATAAAGTGTGAGTCTGAGGGCCTATTAAGACGAGTGTCCATTTAACCAGTGGCCGAAAGTGCACTCCCGATAGGCACTTATAAATGAGTGTTAAGTGAGAATTACTTTAGACATAAGTGATACTTGGGGAGGTGTAATTTCTGCTTAGGTGGGCGTTACGATCACTAATTGAATCTGATTACTTAGAAGTTAAGTCTTGCTGTGGTAATTCTAAGTAATATAAGTGTGAGTTTAATTGCCTCATTAACTCTCGTTACTTAAGTGGAATCGTTGTTTTCATTTTGTTTATTATCGTTATTACTTACATGAGTTAAATTATCTAATAAACTCAATTTCTACGTTTATCTAATTATCCTGGTTACGTAATTTGTAAGTCTAGTTTAAGTGGTAGTGAAGGAAGTGGTAGTTATTATATTTTAAGTGGTGATAAGTTGGTTTTTAAATTAATTTTTATTTTTTTTTTTTTGTGTCTGACTCGTTGTCTTTCCCTCATAACGCCGTAGTGTTATTTGTCGTCTCAGGGAAGGGAAAAAATGGTAGCAGGAATGTTTTAATAGGGGAAATAAAGTGTACTTGTGTTTGTTGTGTTGGTATGGGGGGAAATAGGGAGTAGGATGATTGAGAAATGTGGGGAAATTGGGATGGTACGTATGGTTAATGAGTTGGTAGTTGTGGTTAAAAATGGGTTGGTAGGTGTGGTTAAAATGGGTTGGTAGTTGTGGTTAAAATGGGTTGGTAGGTGTCGTTAAAAATGGGTTGGTAGGTGTGGTTAAAATGGGTTGGTAGTTGTGGTTAAAATGGGTTGGTAGGTGTGGTTAAAATGGGTTGGTAGATGTGGTTAAATTGGGTTTGTAGGTGTGGTTAAAAATGGGTTGGTAGGTGTGGTTAAATTGGGTTAGTAGATGTGGTTAAAAATAGGTTGACAGTAATTAAAATAAGATAAATGGGTTGGTAACATGGCTAAAGAAATGATAGATGGCAACACTGTGTAAACATAAGTTAGCAACAATGGTTAACAATTAGCAACACCGGTAAAGAAAATTAAGGATAACATCAGTGATTAAAAAAAAAAGTTGGCAACATTGTTTTGTAAATAATTGGTTGCAGCGGTGAAAATAACAAATGAGGTTTGCAATAGTGGTTAAAATATGGTCGACAATGTTAATTTATATTATATCGATTCTAAAAAGATGTTGGAATCACTGGTAAAAAAAAGAGTTGGCAACATTGTTTAAAAAGGTAAAAAAAAGTAAGAAAAGTAAAAAAAGTAAAAAAAAAGTAAAAAAAAGTAAAAAAAAAGTAAAAAAAGCCGAGACTGGGGATTGGCAGCAAAGGGTTGTCTACTTGAGCAAGATGGAATCTATAATGAACAGCTACTGCAAGATCGTAACTCACGCTGCCTCGACGTACGCTATAATTTAATTGTGATCACAGGCTTGTATTATTCCTTAATAGGGCTTGATCGAACCAGAGCTGTCTGTCAGGCTGTTGGCGAGGAGACGGAGGGCCAGTAGACAGCAGGGTGAGGGAGGCTGTCGGATGAGGGAGGGCCGGAGAGATGGAGAGAGATAGATGGAGATGAGAGAGGTGTTGGAGGGTGGAGAAGATAGTCTGACGGAGTGAGGGAGGGTTGTGGAGATGGAGAGAGAGATGGAGATGGGAGAGTGAGGGAGGGTTGGGGAGGTGGAGAGAGAGATGGAGATGGGAGAGTGAGGGAGGGTTGGGGAGGTGGAGAGAGAGATGGAGATGGGAGAGTGAGGGAGAGAGAGAGAGAGAGAGAGAGAGGAAAGCTATTATTTGAGAGATGAGACAGAATAGGGGAGAAAGAGACAGATGAAAGTAAAGAAAGTGTTGGAGTCTTTTTAGTAACAGACGGGAAGAGAGATAGAGAGAGACAGATGGAGACAGGCGATGAAAGAAGCTGTCAGATACAACATAAAGGAGGGAGACGGAGAGACAGCTGGGTAGGAGACAGGGAGGGGGGAAGATAGAGACGGCAGAGACAGATGGAGACAGACGGTGAGACTCCAAAAGCCCACGAGGAATACTTAGGGATGGACAGGTAAGAAGGAACCAGTCAGGCAGGCAGTTAGTCAATCAAGCAAGCAGGTATGTAAGTAGTCAGGTAGATGAAAAAAAAAACTAAGTCAGGTAGGTGAGCAGTCAGTCAATCACCCCGGACAGGTATTCAGTCAGTCAATCACCCCGACAGGTTATGCATTCAGTCAATCACCCCAGACAGGTATGCAGTCAGTCATCGCCCCAAACAGGTATGCAGTCAATCACCCCGGACAGGTATGCAGTCAGTTAATCACTCCGGACAGGTATGCAGTCAGTCATCACCCCAAACAGGTA